TATGAAAAATCATAATATTAGGAGGCAATAACATTATTCCTAGGTCCTAGTTGAAAAGTCCTCATATTTTAGAGTGAGCAGTTGTTAAATTAGATCATAAGCAGTGCAGAAAACAGGGTGGGACCACCTGTCACTGTCATTGCCTTTGAAGTATCTGCCATGTAATAAAACTGTGACAGAGCCACCTTCAGTGGCTTCCACATATTATTCATACTGAGGAAAGACTTTACCGTCAGTTGTGACAAAACTGTAGTGTCAATCTGGTTACATGTTGGGTGCACCTCCTACCCAAGCCAGGACTTGTTAGTTCAGTTTATGTGTGGGAAAAGCTTTTCAGTTGAAGCTTTAATTACACGTAGTAGACAGAATGAAGCAGCTAAGCTCTTTTAATTAAACACCTGTTAAATCAGTTTTCCATGATGATAGTTTTAATTTTCAAACATGGGTTCTTTAAAAATTATAGATAAGGGGACAGAACAGCAGTCAGTCGTCATTCCCTTTGTAATTGTTGAGGGCAGAGATGCAAGAAGAGATGCATATATCATCTTCAGCATTTAGTGAGAAACTACAGTATGGAGGCCTTTTCCTTAGGTGCTGGAAATACAAAGGTTCAGCCTGTGCCTTTCAAGAAGTTTGTTACGGCAGGGTGCGGTGGCTCACGCCTGTAATCCTAGTACTACTCTGGGAGGCCGAGGCGGGAGGCTCGCTTGAGCTCGGGAGTTCAAGACCAGCCTGAACAAGAGCAAGACCCTGTCTCTACTAAAAATAGAAAAATTAGCTGGACGTGGTGGTGTAAGCCTGTAGTCCCAGCTACTCGGGAGGCTGAGGCAGGAGGATCGCTTGAGCCCAGGAGTTGGAGGTTGCAGTGAGCTATGATGATGCCATGGCACTCTAGCCGGGGCAGTAGTGTGAGACTCTGTCTCAAAAAAAAAAAAATTAGTTTGTTATTTTTTATTCAGGGAAATTGTGTATGTGTATGTGTTTAGAACCTCTTGACACTGAATTATATTTGTGATTTTTCAAAATGCTAAGTTTAATAAATGTATCCTAATTACCATTTTAACAAATATCTCTTTGTGAAAAGACAAACAATTAAGTCAAAATCTGTTTGAATATGTTTGGGTATATGTGTTTATATGTTAATATACAATGTGTGTATATTGTGAATAGGTATATACTATGTGTATGAGTTGTGCAGTGATATTAAAATGAGTGCCACAGATGAAAAGTGCTACCTCAGAGGTAATTGTGAGATTAAGACAGTTGATATAAAATGGTTAACACAGGGCTGGGCTTGGTGGCTCACGCCTATAATCCTAGCGCCCTGGGAGACCGAGGCGGGTGGATCATTTGAGCTCAGGAGTTCAAGACCAGCCTGAGCAAGAGCGAGACCCCGTCTCTACTAAAAATAGAAAGAAATTAGCTGGGCAATTAAAAATAAATAGAAAAAATTAGCCGGGCATGGTGGCGCATGCCTGTAGTCCCAGCTACTCGGGAGGCTGAGGCAGGAGGATTGCTTGAGCCCAGGAGTTTGAGGTTGCTGTGAGCTAGGCTGACACCACGGCACTCTCTAGCCTGGGCAACACAGTGAGACTCTGTCTCCAAAAAAAAAAAAAAAAAAGATGTGCTGCTGGTCAGAGAGGCAGTGCTGTGTCGTGGAAGGAGGCCCAAGCCCGAGCCGCAGCTCCACTGCCAGCTGAATACATAGCATGTCCTGTCCGCACCTCGGGTTCTTTGTCCTCCAGACGTGGGTGTTGGGCGATGGTCACTAGTGTCCCTTTCAGCGCTGAGGGCAGTCTACGAGTAGAAAATGCAAGGCTTAAGCAACTTGATGAGGTTCTAACCATCTAACTTGTTTATGAGGTTCTGATCCCTGATTCTCTGTCTGCTTCACCCTGGTCCCCTAATAGTCCCGCCCTCAGTAGAGCCCTTCTTCCTGAGTTGGTACCAAAGCATGACCGACACATTTCTGGTTGGAGCATTGGGCCATCTTAATACCTCAGGAATTATCAGAAATGCAGTGAGTAAAGGAAACCCTTGATTTCAACTTGCTGCTCGGACTATATCTGGAAGTCCTGTGTAATGACTCTGTGAACATATATTTCAGAATATGACACATTTATTCATGCATAACAATGTACAGTGTGAATTATGAACTTATCTTCCATGAAGCCTGAGATGCCTCTGACATTCCTGCATTTATCCATTCAGATGGAAGCTTGATATAAAAGATAATAAAACTTTTAACAGGCTTAACTTCTAACTTGAAGAAATGCATGCACTATCTCTTTGTAGGCTCTAAATGAATTGGTCCAAAACCAGTCATATTTTACAGTTGGATGGCAGCTTTCTTTCCTGAGCTATGAAAAGAGCAATGCCAGTGGGGAAAAGGTGATTGCTACATTAATAAAAATCAAAAAACCAGCATTCCAACACCAGCAGCATTAAAATACATTTTTAGCCAGACCAGTTCAGATGTACACAGAATTCTGCTTCTCTAAAATAAAAGATTTTGTTTGCCAGGAAGATCCTGGTGAAAATTCTCACCCCATGCTAGTAGAGCTGAGCTGTGAGAGACAGACTAGATAGCGTATGTCGAAGCAGATAGGGAGCCGGTGAAGTAAGGAGACCAGCGCTGGGGGACAATACATGAAATAAACTCCAACTAAGCCTTTGTCTCTCCATCTAGCCAACAAATATTTACTACGCATATTTCTTGCACTAGATGTTGGGGATGCTTAAGTGAAAGGCATAAGCCCTGGTGTCACTGTCTTGTGTAGGAGACAGGCGATCTTTAGTTGTAATTTTGGTTAAGTTCTAAAATGGGATATTAGAATGGTTTAAATCTGATAGTTGCATTGCCTACAAGCTGCAATTTTAGTTAGCATCATGATATAGTTGAATGAATACAAGATTGGGTTGTTATTTCAAATGTGAATTAATCTAACGAAAGTAATTTTTGAACTATATATAATAGTACGGTTGCATACAATCTGTGTGTTTCAAAACTCTGTAAGGAGGAAGAGCTTGAATTTATAAGGAGCTGTTAAGAGAGTTCCGGTATAAGCAAGACTTTATCATTGTTATTTATAGTTGATAATTCAAGAATATTATTTTGGTAATCTGAAAAACTATAACCAGCTCACATCTTTTTTCTTAAATACTGTATTGGTTCCTTGCCCACAGTTGTGCTCTTTCTTTAAAAATAACTTTTATATAGTGGGATGAAAAGGCTTTCAGATGATTGAACTGTCAGATGTTTGACTAAGTGGCCTTCAGGAGAGTCATTAACCATCATTAATTAAATAAATCTCTGCTATAGCTGTGAAGCAGAAGAGAAATACCTCAATGCAAATCAATGCCTGTGATTTAAAATGTTTGTCCTTGTGCCTTTGGATTTGAGGCTCATATTTGGAACTTGTTTATTGTCTCTGACCGTGTATCTTAATATACATGGCAGGTTTCCCTGGGTTGGCAGTTACCTGGGTTACACTGTGCTCCAGTCTCAGACATTCTGGCATATTCTGCCCATCTCTTTTAGGAGCCCTTGTAAGGGAATTACACAGATGTTGTAATATTTTAAGTCCGGCTGTATCAAAATACTTAATGTATTTTTTAATACCAATTGTTTTCATAACATACAGTAACAGGCAGGTAGAAACTTACTTCTAGAAGTTTGAATCACCGAAATCCACTGTCTGTTAAAATGATACCACATTAGAGTCAAACTCTAATTTTACTTTAATTGCAATGGTGTTAGAAGCATCTGTGGGGAATACCAAGCTATTTTTAATATATAAATAAATCTGATATTAATAAAAGAATGATGTTGAATGACCATTGCTCCTTATTCTCTTAATAATGTCTTTACTGTTCATATTTAAGAATATTTTTAGGCTGGGCATGGTGGTTCATGCATGTAATTGTAGCACTCTTGGAGGCTGAGGCAGGAGGATCACTTGAGCTCAGTAGTTCCAGACCAGCTTGAGCAAGAGCAAGACCCCATCTATACTAAAAACAGAAAAAAATCATCCGGGCCTGGTGGCAGGTTCCTGTAGTCCTAGCTACTCAGGAGGATGAGGCAGGATTGCTTGAGCCCAGGAGTTTGAGGTTGCTGTGAGCTAGGCTGACGCCACGGCACTCACTCTAGCCCGGGCAACAAAGCGAGACTCTGTCTCCAAAAAAAAAAAAAAAAAAAAAAAGGTTAATAGGAGATAAGAGAAACATTTGATAGTTTATAACAGACATAGTAATTTGCTTATTACATATATTTGCTGCATACATAAGGACTTAAAATTTTTTGTTTTAAAGTTCTCCTTTAATAATAGACTGGCAAAATAATTGAGTTTTTTATTCTCAGACAGACCCAGGATAATAATTTTAAAATGATAAATAAAATGGAGAATACAGAGGACAAAATAGTTGAGTGACAAAGGCTGTGAATTTGGGTATAGATTTGTTTTTTTCCACAAGTCAAAAAGAAATTTTAAAAAATAATGATTTTATTTCCTTTTTTTTCCTTTTTCCTTGAGACAGGGTCTTGCTCTGTCACCCAGCCTCGAGTGCAGCCATATGATCATAGCTCACTACAACCTCGAATTCCTGGACTCAAGCGATCCTCTTGGCTCAGCCTCCCAAGTAGCTGGGACTATAGGCACTCAGCACCACACCCAGCTAATTTTTAAATTTTTTTTTGTAGAGATGGAGGTCTCACTACATTACTCAGGCTGGTTTCCAACTCCTGGCCTCATGCAATCCTCCCACCTCTGCCTCCCAAAGTACTGGGATTATAGGTGTGAGCCACCATGCCCAGCTGATTTTAAATTTTTAATACTGAGATGGGCTAGTGGGTGGATAAGAGATAATTTTATTACATTCCAACCCAGAAATTTCTAATAAATTTACAATATTGGCACAGATGTGTCAAATTAATGTTATTTGGTCAACATTTTAAGAGGAGTTAAAATAGAACTATCAATCTGTGTGGTATGTTTTGTTTTTAAAAGTCAAACTCTTTGTTTTTGTTTCACAGACAATTGTGGCTATTAATAAAGACCCAGAAGCTCCAATTTTCCAAGTGGCAGATTATGGAATAGTTGCAGATTTATTTAAGGTAAACTGGCCTTGAAAGAAATTGCTGTTATCTAGATTGTCATCTAATAACCCCTTAGAGTCGGTCAAGGATGAAGCTATTAAAAGAAAACATTGTGTGTTTATGTATCTGTCTGAAATATGTGCTGTTAATATACGCACACAATTTTGACCTAAAGTTAAGTTGCCCTAATAAATATGTGTTGCTTATGTAGAGTATTATAACTTTGCCCTTAAGAAGGAGTCCAAATTGTCTTTAAAATATCCATATGGCTCTTGGCATCTCATGTGTGAAGTTAACACGCTATGTGAAATGAGTCAGGTAACCTAGAATCATATTTGGCAGGTGCCCTAAAGAAATTAACGTCAAACCTCCTTATCTGAGGATTTGCTGAGGACACTAGAGCTTTTCAGGAGAGTGAGCACTCCCGTCCAGCTCTTGGACTCAGCAAGAGTACTGCGCTGGCTGTGTCGGGGGTTAAAGGCCTCCTAACGTAACCGGCATAGGGAGGACACCGACTCGCACTCCTCACAGCCTTCACCTTTGAGTGTCTTTCTGCCCCACCATCACCCCCACATTTGCCCTTCCCACGAGAAAAATTACGTTAATGATACTAATTAATTTAGTGAATTATGCGTGATGAGCACCTGATACTCAGCACATTTGAAAGTCATGACCTTTAAGGTCATGACTTGTGCTTGGCCTGGCTTCTTCTTTCCCCCTAGGCCTGCCTACCAGCTTCTGGGTACCTTGTGCAGAAATCACATGTGCATGAATTGACACTCTGGAATTAGCATCCCACCCTAGGAAAAATGGGTTTGCTGGAGTGAGGAACCCCTCACATCGACCCACTGGAAGAGGCTGTGGGCCGCAGCCCGAGAACAGAGCCAGGGAGGTCCCTGCAGCAAGAGGATTGGCCCATTACCCTAACTTCTCCAGCACTGCATGTGATCTGGATGCACTAGTGAGTGCCCGCTGAGAGCACATTTGTTCTCGGAAGTATGTGCACGTTTGCTCAGTGCAGATGGATGTGAGCTCTTTCAGCTGCTCGGTGATTCCCGAGTAATGGCTCAGACATGGGAGACGAGGTTGGGCTGCTACTCCAGTTCAGTGTAGGGCGTTCTTCCCCCCAGGAGGGCCCCAAAGAGCCTAGATCTTGCTTGGGAAGAATATGTACCCCCTCCAGTGACCCTGTATCTGAAATTTGGGGTTCAGGTAGGTCAGCTGCTCCTATTGCCTGGTCCAGGTATGTAAGAACAAACAGTAACGGCAGTCATTTGGCCACTGAGATGTCCCAGTGGGAAGGGGAGCTAGCGTGCAAAAGAAAAATTTTTTGTTTATGCAATGATAACTTTGTTCAAGTAGCAAGAATTTAGGCAGTGTGGATAGAGAGGTAAATGTTCTTTTTATTTAAAAGCTAAATTAAACACTTTCTCAACCCCAGCCATGTACCATATTGACCTGTCTGCAAAGTCATCTACTGTACTTGGCTTTTATTTTTCCTCCAGAGAATATGCTCATAAACTTATAAGTAATTTTGTTATTTTACATTGTTTTCTGTCTGCCTACATAATAGGTATTACAGCTCACATGATAAAAAGATGAAGCATTAAACAGTTGGAAATTTCAGTGTTCCTCCAGTGTGGACGCTCATCTTGGAGCAAGAGCTTCTTTACACAGTCATTGACAGAGTCATGCCACACGCACTGTGCCGCTTGCGTTACGGGCAGCTCCCGGGCTTGGCAAGAGAGGGTGTGAGTGTGAACTCAAAGAGGTAGCTCGATGAGAGGGGTCCTCAGACACTGAGGTGGAAAGGGACCTCAAAAATCGTCCAGTTGGCTGACTTCCAACCTCCGTTTCTCAAGCCATTTTTGGTGTTTTAAGAAGCCCACATTTGACTATAGAGAGACTGTTTGGACCAAGATAATCATGTTTACTTGCTTTGGCTAGAATTTTCTTAGGGCAGTAATATCATGCAGCTCCAAAGTTCTGAAGTACAGTTATGTGTGTCTTCTATGAATATAAAGGTAGAGACGTTAATCAGTTCTTTAAAATATAGTTTGGGAAAAAACTTGTAATTAAAGGTTATGAAAGTATTAAAAATAATGCAGACTCCCGTTTGTCACTACGTGAGTAACACAAGCCAGGTACCTTCTTTTTAAGTTGCCTGTCCGAGAGAGATGTGTTCTGGGACAGTCACTCCGCAGGCGATGGGCACAGCTAAGCCAGCCTCCTGCTTCTGTCCTCTCCAGCTCATCAGGCACCACGGCGGGTGGGTCACCACTGCTGCCCCACCTTGGATAAGCGACAGTGAAAAGTGCCACACATCGGGAGACTCGAGGAACCTAGACAGTACCCAGCAAACCGTTTTCTCAGCTGAAATCAGAAAGAGCTTATTGTGGATGAATATCAGAGTAACTCTGACGGAGGAGCAGACAAGGTGGTCTGGTGAATAGACGCCTCGCTGGCACCACCCCGATTTTTAAAAATCAAATATTTAATGGTATAACTTTTAAAACTACAATTATACAAATTATGGATGAGAATTAGCATCATCTATTTTGGATTAAGATCTAAAGAAAATATAAATCGAATAACAGCTGTACAAAAAGGACTTTTTTATGAGATTAAGAGTCTCGTGCTCTACTGACTGAGCTAGCCGGGCGCCGGTAAAAAAGGACTTTTTTAGACTAAACTGTTGTATAAAAATTTTAAGTTGCAAACTGTATCATGCATACAGCTGTTAGACTAATAATTCCCTAGGTGATGTTTTGTTCACCAGATATAACCATGTCTGGAATAGAGATGTATACACGTAACATTTTATTCTCTTATATTTACTGTTTCACTTCACCCTTCAACAATTATAAGTTATTATAGAAAGGACAAGTCTTTTTTCTCCTCATAAAACAAATAATATAGTACAGTGATTAAGAGCTTTAATTCAAATTCTGTCTTGGCCACATACTAGTTAAATTATCTTGGCCAAGTTATTTAATCTCTCTGAACATCAGCTTCCTTATCAGTAATATAAATACTGCACTACCTCCCTTAAAGGCTGTAATGAAGATCAAATGAGATTATATTGCACCTAGTACAGTCCGTGATAAATATTAGCCTACCTGTTTGTATTTCCTTACATCCAGGTACATAGTAGGTGCTCAATAAATGGTAAATATTAATATTATAAATTGGAGTTAGAGGGACAGGGCATAGGGCACCACTTGAGTGTGGCTTTTTTTTTTTTTAGTATTACAGCTTTACTGAGCTAAAATTCATATACCATAAAACTCACCATCTTAAAATGTCTAATTCAGTGGTTTTTAGTATCTTCACCAAGTTATGTAGCCACTGTCTAATTCCAGAACATTTTCATCACATCAAAAAGAAACCCATATCTATTAGCATTCACTCCCTATTCTACACTCCCTCCCTGCCCCCAGCTCCTGGCGACCATTAATCTCCTTTCTGTCTCTGTAGATTTGCCAGTCCTGGACATTTCGTAGCAGTGGAATCATGTAATGTGTGGTGTTTTGTAACTGGCTTCTTTCACTCAGCATGAGGTTTTCAAGGTTCATCCATGTTGTAGCATCTGTCAGTTCTTTGTTTCTTGCCAAATAATATCAATTGAATGGATATGCCACATTTTATTTGTCCATATATCATCAGATGGACATTTTGATTTTTTCCCCTTTTTGGCTATTATTTATAATACTGCTGTGAACATTCATGTATAAGGTTTTCTGCAGACATATGTTTTAATTTCTTTTGGGTATCTATATGTCTGGGAATGGAATTGCTGGGTCACATGGTAAGTCTGTATTTAACATTTTGAAGACTTGTCAGACTGTTTTCAAAGTGACTGTCTTGGCTGGGTGTGGTGGCTCACACCTGTAATCCTAGCACTTTGGGAGGCTGAGGTGGGAGGATCGCTTGAGGCTAGGAGTTTGAGGCCGTCATGCATAAGCTCTGACTGGGCCACTGCACTCCAGCCTGGGCGACAGAGCAAGATCCTGTCTTAAAAAGAAAGTGGCTGTCACATTTTACATTCTCACCAAAAATGTGTGAGGGCTCCAGTTTCTCCACATGCTCAGTAACACTTGTTACTATGTCTTTTTGACTATAGCCACTCTATTGACAGAATCTCACTCTGTTGCCCAGGCTAGAGTGCTGTGGCATCATCCTAGCTCACAGCAACCTCAAACTCCTGGGCTCAAGTGATCCTCCTGCCTCAGCCTCCCGAGTAGCTGGGACTACAGGCATGCGCCACCGTGCCCGGCTAATTTTTTCTATATATTTTTAGTTGTCTGGCTAATTTCTCTTCCTATTTTTAGTGGAGACGGGGTCTCACTCTTGCTCAGGCTGGTCTCGAACTCCTGACCTCGAGCAATCCTCCCACCTCGGCCTCCCAGAGTGCTAGGATTACAGGCATGAGCCACCAAGCCCAGCCTCTCTTTGTGGTTTGATTTGCATTTCCCTGAGTGCTCATGATGTTGAGCATCTTTTCATGTGCTTATTGGCAATTTGTATATTTTCTTTGGAGAAATGGCTATCCAAGTCCTTTGCCCATGTTTTAGTTGGTTTGTCTGTCTTTGGGTTGACTTGAAGGAGTTCTTTATATATTCTGGATACTAAACACTTCTCAGATATATGATTTCCAAGTATTTTCTCCTGTAGGTTATCTTTTCACTTTCTTGATATAACAATGTCCTTTGGATGCGCAAAGTTTTAAACTTTGATGAAGTCCAGTTTATCTTTTTGTTGTTATTGCTTGTGCTTTTGGTGTCATATCTAAAAACCCATTGCCAAATCTAAGGTCGTGAAGATTCACCTTTATGTTTTCTTCTAAGAGTTTTATGTAGTTTTAGCTCAGATATTTGGGCTGTTGATGCATTTTGAGTTAATTTTTATAGATGGTATGAGGTAGAGGTCCAACTTCTTTTGCACGTGGATATATACTTGTTGCAGCACCATCTGTTGAAGAGACAATCCCGTCCCCACTGAATGTGCTTGGCATATACCACCTATCTTTTAAACCTCTTTTTCTCTTCTCCCAAGCACAGCTGTTCATGATGGTCATAGTCTGTTTCCTCTCTCTGCAACCTTGTAGTGTTCATCTCTGTCTGCCTTCTCATTTCTTGCCCAGAATCCTTTTCTTCTCTAGGTTGATGTTCTGGATTTTCCTAATCCACATTCTCCTCCATTCCAGTATACAATGAGCACATCCCTGATTGGGTGGTTCATAGACCTCTGTTCTCGCCAGCTGGGAGGCGGAACTCGCTCTGTCTCCCTCAGCACTAGCCCGAGGGAGTACTGAGTGAGTGAGTGGAACATGCTTGTACTGTGACTTGTATCAGTAGATTATCTTTTTTAAACTTAAATGTCCTCTTATTTGGTCTCACTGGAAAGGAGCTGCTTCTGCAATATCTAAGAGGGAATAGAAACAAGAATCCAGATCCTTCCGTGTGCTCAGGCATTCACGCAGTGAACCCCAGTTAGCATTTTCTTTTCCCTAAATAAAGTAGTGTGTGGTAAGCTTGGAAAGGCTGTGGTTGGTCTAATAAAGAAGATATAGATGATGGGGAGAAAAAAATCCTCTCAGCCATTTTGTGGGGAATATGGTAGCAGGACATTCTGTAAGGTTTTTAAAAATCATATATTCTAAATCAAATTCATATTTTGCTTCCTGGGGGAAGAAGTTGGGCTCTAGCTTATTTTTCATGAAACACACAGGTCCCACGTGAGGTTCAGCTAGCATGTCATCCGTGCGCCTGGCATGAGCTCACGGTCTCTCCACTGAGGAAAGCTGGGGGAAGTGGAGCCAGCGCTTAATGCGCCCCTGGGCGATTGCCTGCTGGCTCCGTGGTAAACACGGGCCTTTTAATAGGCTGGAGTCAAAGTGACATTCGGAAGAAACAACATGTCGACAATTTCCTTAATAAATTTTGTACGAACGCATTATTTCCACCTAATGGAAATGTAGCTCTCTTAAATAATTGAGAAGCTGTATTCACCAGTGGCGAGTTCAGCTGGGATCTTTGTGAGCCAGGGCGGCCGGCAGCCCCTTGGAAGACTGGGTAATTGATATTTTGCTCAAGTGGCTGGGCTAGTTTTCAGAATATCTGTGTGACATTCCCTGCAGCCCCCATGCACGACTCTCTGCTGTTGTCCAGGCAGTTGCAAAGTAGCTCTACGCTGCAGGCTCCACTTGCAGCCTCTGCACTGCCGCCAAGACTAGGGGTTAACGATTAATCCTCTCTAAAATGGGAGCCAACTCTGGCAGTTTCGTCTGCTGCGATTTCTTACTGCGTCTGCTGACTGGCACCACCGCATTACTACAAGGTCTTGATTTTAATAAAGAGCGATAACACTGAGTGTTCAGCACGCAGCACGTTTTTGTGTGCCAGATGATAGTGACGTGCTGAGAAAGCAAGCAAAGTGTAAATGAACGATGAGTGGACGAATGAACGATGAGAGAGCAAGTACTAGTGGAGGGCGACTGGAGTCGTGACTGAGCTAGAGGCCTCAGTGTGGACTTTGAGGGAGAGTCAGGGATGCGGTAAGGGTAGGAAGAACTCGGGGAAAACACGAAGGTAAAAAATACACACTGCTCTCAGCCCAGACAAGAAAAAATGGACTTCCTGTTTTCTATGGTGCCTTCTCGAAGTTCGCGGTTGTGTCAGAAAGGCTCCTGGGCAGTGAGTGGGCTCGGGCCCTGCCAGCCTCGTGTGGGGGCAGTCTGGCCCTCCCCCGGGTGAGCAGGGAGTTCCTGGGTGGGGCACAGGGGACACTTTGTGCCTCAACAGTGATTTGCGTTGTTCTTTTGGCCTCCGTGTACTGCTTAAGGAGCTGTGACCATCACAGTGAAGCTCAAGTTGCTTAATTACGGTTTTTTTTAATTTGCAGGTAGTTCCTGAAATGACTGAGATATTGAAGAAAAAATGAATCATGATCACATCTTGAGAAGAAAAACTATGTCAGAGTATTCAGCTGGAATCATGGAACTTCATGGATGTCATAACAATCATTGGAAAGCATGGAGAGCTACATTCAGAATTTGAGGAAAAATTTCTAAAAGATGCCAGAATGCTTTTTTATGGGACTATTATTATGTTTCTTTTTAATTATTTGTGGTTCTAAACAATTATTTTTTGCAATTTTCTAATTATCTAACAAATCTATAATAAAGCCTTAAACACTATCAGAAATATGCCTAGCCTCTGAAAGAAAGAGAAACTTGAAGAGAGGGAGTACAAATTCATTTATTATTTTTTCTTTGCCTGTCTTGTTCATAGAGGGCTCTAAGTTTTAGGCAAGATTGTAAACATGAATGTTCCCCAACAGCCTGATCAACCTAATGTGATTGCTGAAGTGCATACTTTGTAGAAAGGCAACTAGACTGGCAAAGGCAGAGTTAAAAAGCACGGCTACAAAGCGTGGATATTATCTTAAACACGCTCCGGCCTTCAGAAAAGTACAGCTAACGTGACAAAAGCAGACCTGACTTAACCTGACCCTGCTGAATGTATTTATTTGGCTTAAATTAAATTTCATTTTGTTTCATTTTAAGGTTTTGTCAGTTTATAGCACTTTGTGTCTGTAAAGACGGGAGAGTGGAGAAGAAGGAACCACTCTGAGATACGGTATGGCCTCTTATGCAAACGAATAGTTTGATATTATTGTAAGTGCTTAAAATCCTGCACAGAGAATGCTCTGGGCGTTCATTTGCCCTCCTAAGAGCTTCCTTTGGGCTTTCTTAGAAAGCAGGCAGGCCCATGAGTTGGCAGAACGTGTGGTCACCTGGCGCTCTCACTCAGCTGCCCCAGCCCCAGCCACGGTCCAGACCGTCACCAGGGGCTGCAGGCTCGTGTGGGTGCGGGCCCAAGAACGGGCTGGTGAGGCTTTTAACAGCCCTGCTGGAAAGCGTGGGTAGGTAGGGGAGTAAATGGACAGAACTGTCCTCCTGGAGCAGTCAGCGGGAGCAGGAGTCATCACCTGCATCAGTGATAATGAAGGGCGGGACAGGGACCCCAGACAGTCCCTTTGTGTGGCCAGCCTGGGGCCCTTCTTCAGCTGACTAGTTGGACCTTTTTGGATTTGTGTCATAATCACTTGCTGTGAAACCTTTTTTTTTTTTGGTGCTAGCCAGTTCATGCACACCACAGAAGAAACACTTTGAAAAGTTATCTTTTCCAGCCTGAGCAAGAGTGAGACCCCATCACTACTAAAAATAGAAAATTAGCTGGGCGTCATGGTGCACACCGGTAGTCCCAGCTACTCGGGAGGCTGAGGCAGGAGGATCACTTGAGCCCAGGAGTTTGAGGTTGCTGTGAGCTACAGTGACACCACGACACTCTAACCGGGGCAACAGAGTAAGACTCGGTCACAAAAAAAAAGTTGTCTTTGGGCTGCACATGATGGCTCCTGCCTCTAATTCCAGCACTTTGGGAGGCCAAGGCCGGAAGATTGCTTGAGGTCAGGAGTTCGAGACCAGCCTGAGCAAAAGTGAGACCTCGTCTTTACAAAAAATAGAAAAATTAACTTGGTGTCGTGGTGCATGCCTAGAGTCCCAGCTAGGCTGAGGCAGAGTCCCAGGAGGCTGAGGCAGGAGGATCACTTGAGCCTGGGAGTTAGAGGTTGCAGTGAAATATGATCACACCCCTCCACTCTAGCCTGGACGACAGAGCGAGACCCTGTCTCAAAAAAAATAAAAAGGTGGTCTTGGCATTTCGACCTTCTTTTAATGAGATGAGAGGAAAGCGGTAAAATGATGCCTCTTTGCAAAGTAATGTCTGTGTTAGAATCCTAGAACCCTAGAATGTCAGAGCCCATCCATCTAGTCAGCCCCTTGGACAGATGCGATTCCTGAGGCACAGGTAAGAAGGTGCTGTGACTTGCCGAAAGCCACATGGCTTGAATCACCCTGTGAAAGTAATTTTTGTATCTTGTTGCTATCTTTGAGGCTCTTCCCAGGGGGGCTAACTTTGCTTAGGGACTTCTCCATTTACCCCTCATCTCCACTGGGTGCTGGAACTGGGAGGCAGGAGAGATGGCAGAGCTGGCAGCGGCAGAGGCACCCCCAGTAGAAGGTATGTTCGGGGAGGGGCGTCCCAGGTGGTGCCTTTGCGTGATTCCTTGCCTCAGAGCTGAACTGGTTGGTCTTGCTGCCTTTTGTTCCCTCCTGTCATGGCTGTCTTGCCCCAGCTCCAAGCAGCTGTTCACGTAAGCAGTCCGCGCTGGGTGGAAGTGGTCGTCACCGTGGCATTAAGTGCATTCACTGCGCGTACACCAGGCACTGGCCTAGCGCTTTACACATAGTAAGCCGCTTCAGTCCTCACAACACCCCGTAAGTTAGATGCTGTTATTAACATTATCCCTCTTTTACAGATGAGGAAGCTGAGGCTCAAAGAGGTTATATGACTTGCCCAAATTCAAACAGCTTATAATCAGGGTCCGGATTTGAAACCGGGCAGTCTGGCTCCAGAGCAGTGACCTCACTAGGATGTGATTCTCCCTCACCTTGGCTCACTGCACAGTAACCTCAGGTAAAGAGCACTAAGTGCTCCGTGGTGGGGGGCAGGGCAGGTGAGCAGATTCCAGAGGGAACAGACAATGGCAAGTTGATGATAACAAAGGAGGCTGCAGCCGCTGACCCTCCATAGCTTTTGTTTAGTCTTGTGGATATATGGTGTGATTTTGTTGAATACATAAGAATACTTTCTGCTGGTTGGCAATTATTTCTTGTTTGTATAGTACAATTAAATGTGTCACTGTATCAGGAGTGTTCCACAAAGAGCTGTGTGACATCCCGAGGCCCTGCTACCTGAACAATCCTAAGCAGCACTCCCGGCAGTGGGAGCCGTTGACAGTTTTTGAGGCAGCCTCGTGACCTAACCTGCAGGAGTAACCTGACCTGGTGGTGTATCCGCACGGACCGAGGGAGGAGGAGAAGAGGGAGATGATTAGGGGAGGAATCCTCTGGCCTTATGCCTCAGGTGGGTTTGGCTCTTTAGCTGCAGAATGGGCCCCGGGAGACTGTGAAAATGGGTCCAGCACTGTGGGTGAGGCAGGCAGAGAGTGGGGCTCTTCCTCCCAGGGCAGCAGGGCAGCCCCGCTGCTGCCAGAGCCTGGGTGTGTCTGCGGGGCTGCAGGGCTGGAAACGGCAGCCCTGAGTGCACTTTTTACTCGTTCTTTTTTTTTTTTTTTTTTTTTTTTGAGACAGAGTCTCACTGTGTTGCCCGGGCTAGAGTGCCATGGCGTCAGCCTAGCTCACAGCAACCTCAAACTCCTGGGCTCAAGCGATCCTCCTGCCTCAGCCTCCCGAGTAGCTGGGACTATAGGCATGCACCACCATGCCCAGCTGATTTTTTCTATATATTTTTAGTTATCCAATTAATTTCTTTCTATTTTTAGTAGAGACGGGGTCTCGCTCTTGCTCAGGCTGGTCTCGAACTCCTGAGCTCAAACAATCCGCCCACCTCGGCCTCCCAGAGAGCTAGGATTACAGGCGTGAGCCACCACGCCCGGCTACTCTTTCTGAAAGGGATGGTCAGCCGGGTCGCATTTCGCGCTGTCTCTCACTGGGGCTTTGTGTTTGGGTCTACATAAGAGTGGGCTGAGGAGGCTGGAAAGTCCGGAGAGCACGCTGATTGTAACAGGTGGGTTTGGTTAGCGGTTGCTGAGCTAAAGGAGGCTCGACTAATAACCGTGTGAGAAGTCCGTGTGGGGCGACACTCTGCCACAGTTCCATGTAGCCCCAGGGTTTCAGTCTTCGTGGGGAGCGCGAATGAAGAAGAGCCGCTGATGATCCTTGGCTTACAAAGAACTTTCATGTACCTTACCCATGCGTGGGGGAAGAGTGGGGAACAGTCAAGAATTCAGACTCTTGGGAGGCAGTTCACCATAGGTCACAAAGCAAGTAGTAGAACTGGAACAAAATGAAACAATTTTTGGCAAATAAATTACTTATTAAGAACTTACTATGTGTCAGGTGCATTATATATCCTTCACTAATCCAGCAGTCTCCAAAGTGGGCATGACTACTCCTGCCTTCTAGATGAAATGGGAGAGGGATGACCAGAGAGGCAGTCAGGGAGCTGCGGAGCCCCAGCTGGACTGAGGCTGGAGGGCTTGGCCTTCCACTGCACCGGCTGCCTCCCTCATCTTCCAGCTTCCCCAGGACTCTGTCCCCAGATTTGCATTGCCTCAAAACAGCAGGCTTGTCATTGGAAGCAAGGAACGGTGATGGCATTAGGGAATTTTTGTGCTTTCTCTGGCATTTACTTTCTGTGCCATCAGTTTGGAGTTTGGTGGGAGGGATACCCTGGCGAGGCCTTCCCTGTCTGGCCTTTGCCCTCTTCACCTCCCACAACTGGTCATGTGGTTAAAGGCAGGCGACTGCTGCCTTTCTGTGTGCTCACCTCCAGCTGTGCTCCCTTCCCAGTGTGGGGCTGCGTGGCGAACATTTTGGTCTGGGACCTGGGGACCACTGGGTGGGCTGGTCACCAGGACACTTGAGTTCTCGTCCTGCTTCTGTTACTGCCTCAGAGACCCCCTAGTCACCTTCCCTTTCTTTTCACGTTTCATTTTCATCTGTAAAATGGCAACTTGAAATAGATAATCTTTCAAGATACCTTTAAGCTTTAACCTGTGAATGCGTTAGCAGATCTCATACAGAGTAGGTAAATAGAGATAAAAATAACTGTTTTTGAGGGCTTTTTATGCCCAAGATGCTGTGCTGAGCCCTTTACGTACATTATCTCATTTAAGTCTTAAAAAGAGGCCTTACTAATAACCTATCTAACAGAAAGTAGGGGAAATAAACTCACGGCACAACTACCCTTTGTTTTAATTACAACATCTGTGACCTAATTTGCTATCCCTAAGAGTTCTTTCTTGGTCTTGAAGAGCCCAAGCAGGCAGTGGGGTGCGTGCTCCCTGCTCCAGCTCTCTGCCTCAGTTCCTGCCAAAAAACCAGATTCCAAGGACTCAGATAACCCCGCCTCACAGAGAAAGAAAAAGAAATAAATAACTCA